TCATTATTATTATTATTATTATTATTCTTTTTCATTAATATATTTTGGCTATTATCAAGTCATATTCTTATAAGTGAACCACAATCGAGTAATTTACTTCATAAGGTCCTGTAAAGGCTTCTGAATAGAATTAAGATGGGCATATTGAGATTATTTCTGATATGATATGTATGTAGATTATCTTTGTAGGCATACATGGGTAGATTAATCTGCAGTCTGTAATTAAATTCTATTCGAATTGGAATGCAGATTCGTAATACTATATAAATTTGAAAGTAAAACTCTTCTGAGAAGAGTGTGCCTTGAGTACTTTTGTATATGGATATGGACAATCTTGAATGGCTCTCCCCCTCTTCCTCCCTCTTCCTATTTATATACATATGTATATGCATATATACAAGATTCTTAACTGCCTTTCAAGCAACCCTTTTGAAGAGGCTGCCGGGCCGCAATTACTCGCGTTGCAAGCTCATCGCAAGTGTTGCAAAGTGAAAGTGTTGCAAGGAGCCTGAAGTTGTGGGGTTTCTGTTCGTTTGCACTTCGCTCGATCGCTGTCGCATTTTTCCAATTTGCGAATACTTTTGATGCATTTGGAGTGTCGACGGGTGCCGATGGCCACGTTTTCTTACTTCATTTCGAATTGTTCGCGCGAGTGTGTGTGCACTCGTAATTATGTAATCAGTGTGCCTCATTATGTGCCCCGCTCTCTCCCTCTCTCTCTCTCTCTCTCCCGCGCTCGTCCCACTGTTGCCACACTGGCAACAAATCGAAACAGCAGCTGCCTCTGATTGCTCCGGCCGTGTCTCCGGCCGTAAAATGAATAACAGAACAGAAACCAGAACCAGAACCAGAATTTTACGAGCGCCCATCAAATCGAACGCCATTGGCGCCAATCACACGTGCCACGTGCCGCACTGCAGCTGCAACGTGCTACGTGCTACATGCTACATGCTACCTGCTCAGCTCTCTCACCTGTATACGATCCTCGGCCAGTCCCGTTTTCATGGACAGCAGCTCCCGTGCACTGACATCCGGATAGTGGGCCTCCTTGAAGGCCTTCTCCAGCTCCTCCAGCTGGCTGCTGGTGAATATGGTGCGTCCGTGTCGCCGCTTGTTCTTCTTCTTGCCGCCGGGTCCGCTGCCGCCGGGGCCGACGAGCACGTCGCCGCCGCCATGGCCAGCGAGCAGGCCATTCGGATTGGCCGCCGCGCCAGCTGCCGCGCCCAGGAAGGCTGCCTCATGCCCGTGATGCACATGACCGTGGCCATGGCCATGCCCATGTACGTGGGCGTGGGCGTGCACATGATGCGCCGCATGAGCGTGATGCGCATGATGAGCGGCCGCTGCGGCAGCGGCATGATGATGTGCCGCTGCTGCAGCCGCTGCCGCATGCTGATGGGCGGCCAAAGCGGCATGATGATGCGGCTGCTGCTGCTGCTGTTGCTGCTGTTGCTGCTGCTGCTGCAGCGCATTCGATGTGGAGGAGGAGGATGTGGCGCTCGAAGCGGAGCTAGCTGTGGCAGCATTGCTGCTGTTGTTGTTGTTGTTGCTGCTGCTGCTATTGTTGTTGTTGTTGTTGCTGCTGCTAGCGCTGCCATTGCCATTCGCCTGGCCATTGCTGTGCCCCGCGGACAGCTCGACGGCAGCAACAGCTGCAGCATTCGATTTACTAGGCGACTGCTCATCGCCGCTGGCATTGGCCAAGCTGTTGGCATACTCCTGACCACGTGCGGCCGCTTGTTCTGCAAGAGAAGTGCAAGGGGAAGAAGAAGAAGAAGAGAAGCAAAGAGTTAGCGATAAGTAAGATAGATTGCATGCAGCTAGCAGACATTCCGAACACATGTTTAATCACACAATCGCAATTCACAAGCSACAATAAACACGCCAATGGCAATGGCAATGGCAATGCCAATGCTAATGCCAATGCCAATCCCATTTCCTTTAAATGCTTGACAATAGAGCATGTCATACGAGCATACGAGCGCTCATCCTGGCTTCAATAGAAAAATGAAAGAGAAACTATGCGTGTGTGTGTGTGTGTGTGTATCTGGAGACTATTCCTCGGCAGCTAGATTTTTTGCACACGATATGCGACAGCTGGAAAATTGTTCCATGCTCGCTTGCCTCTCATTCAAAGGCGCGCAGATTTTGACAAGTTGCCAGGATTTATTCAAATGTCAGCGAAGGGTTAAGCGCACGTCCTCGTGTCCTTTTGCCTCTCCCTCTCCCTCTCCCGCTCCCCCCTGCTCTAGCTCTCTTGTTGGGCTTCTTAGAAAATGTTGCCACAAAATATTTTCTTTAGCCAGTTTTGTTTTTGGCTTTTCATGCTGCTCAAGGGAAACGCTAAGGGCGCAACTGCAATCGGGTCTAGCGAATCATCAAGATGGTCTCATGTTTTCTCTTTCTCTCCACTCTCACTCCCTCCCTCTCTCTCTCTCTCTCTATCGCTCTCAATGTGTGTTGTGTTTCGTGTGCGCTTTGTTTTGACAATTAGGGTGTTAGGGTGTTAAGTGGTTTAGCCCTTTTTTCGTCTTTCTTTCGTTTTAGGTCTCAAATTAAACGGGAATCGGCTTAGGCGTGTCGCACGGGGCGTTCTATTGTGATAACATATATACATCGACACACACACACATACATATGCTCTCTGGCAATGTTGGTCTCACTTTTCACCATCAGCGAAATTAGTTTCCGGGCCACTCGACTCAATTGCTGGCGACTTATCTCAGCTAAACTTTGGCCAACAATTAAAATGATTCTAATAATATCTAAAAGTTCTTAAATTACTAAGCCTTATATAGATATAGATGTAGAAGAGATACCTATTGATTATTAGCTATGGGTCTAGACACTAGAGACTAGAGACTAGAGACTAGAGACTAGAGACTAGAGACTAGAGACTAGAGACTAGAGACTAGAGACTAGAGACTAGAGACTAGAGACTAGAGACTAGAGACTAGAGACTAGAGACTAGAGACTAAAAGCTAGAGAATTGTAGCTTCAGACTTGAGATTTGAGACTAGGACCTAGAACAGTCTAGATCAGTCTAGATGATCATTCATCTCAGCTGTTGGCAATATTCTCTAGTTTGTATAGATTCATAATCTCACTAAACTGTTAGCTATGTAGTTTGGCTTCAGAGGATTATACAGATTTTTCTTCCAGCTGATGTATCTGAGATATAGAGCTAAATCCTGGCAAAGTCTACGTTTGATAAATTCTATATATTATACTAGATATACAAATTGGAGTTTTTAGCTCGTATCACTAGCTCATTTCACTTAAAAGCAACTATATCATATAGTACCATGATAGATCCGACTCAATAGCTGCTATATATTATAGCATTCCTATACAGTTTCAGTATATATATAGACAGCCAAATTGTAAGCAAAGCTTCATTAGGTTCAAGTAGTTCAGCTCAGAAGATCATATATACAAATATATATATAACGTGCTTATATATATTCTCCATTAAAGCTTAAAACTTTACTAAAAATATTATAATAAGCTACACAAGGCTTTTAAAAAAATGAGGCAAAAAAAAAATTGTTTGTCTAGCGCTCAAGGGGGGCCTCGAGGCTGCGAGAACTTTGCTCAGTTGTAGTCAATGTTGTTGTTGCTGTTGTTGTTGCTATTGTAGCTGCTGTTGTTGCTGTTGTCATGCGGCTGTGATTGTTTTTTATTGCCTGGCTACTTTGGCGGGCACAATTAGACACACATCAATTAACAATTAGCTAAACGACAGCTGCCCAATGTCCAGTTGTTGTTGGCCCCGCACACACACGCACACACACACACACACATATATATACACACACATACTTATAAATAGCTGAGCAATAATAATGCCTCCGCCCACTTGTTGAGCATAGCATGGAGGGTGTGCATGTGTGTCCATGTCTATGTGTGTGTGTGTGTGTGTGACCAGCACAGACGCGAGACCAGCCTAGTTGAGGAGGGCCTGCTTTGCACGGTTAGCCACTTTGGTCAGCTATCGATGTCGGCTGCTGTTCCCCTTGTTGAGTTTTGTTCGCGACCTGTCCCGTCCGCTCGCTCCCTCCTGCTCGCTCTCTCCCACTCTGCAGCTGTCTCTCTCTCTCTCCCTCTGGGCGACTAATTCAATTTGCTGCTGTTGCTGCTGCTGTTGTTCGGTCTGCCGTTTGCTCAATGAATCGGCGCCATGAGTTGCTTGATTTTCTGTCATGCGATATTTTTTTGCGGTATCCCCTTGCGGCTTTTGCCCCTCTCCCACTCACAGTCTCTACCTCTCTCTCTCTCTCTCTCTCTCCTTCTGTACATTTGCTGCTTTGCTGGCTTTCCTTTCACTTCATTTTCATTTCCATTTTCATTTTCCGCCTAAATTAATTTGATATTGAAGTTCGCATCTTTTTCGCTCAACGATTGTAATCTATACCTAGCTGCAGACAGTCCGTCTCCTGCCTCCCTCTCTCTCTCTCTCTTTCTCTCTCTCTCTCTGTGTGCATTCCTGCCAGTTCGTCCTGTCCAGTTTTGGCCACTTCAGTGGCTCCTTTGTGCGTTAATTAAATGTTCAATTAAGCAATTTTCCTGCTGCCGTAGCTGGCTTTGTTCTGCTCGGTTATCGATATCTTTCTCCCTACTTTATGAATTTACATTAACTGCCTGACCCATGGGCGTCTATAATGGGATAATTTGCCAATTTGTTTTGGGGGAAGAGGGAGCGGCAGGATGGAGTGTTGGGGTAGGGGCTGTATGTGTGGCATTCTTAGGAAACTATTTACTCTTAAATTGTATCGATAATTGCTTCCTTAAGTGTCAAGCATATAGATATATAGATCTGTTTTACGAGCGATTCATTGACATCGCATTAATTCAAATGTTTATATTGAATTTCAAAAATTTCAATGATTACTAAGCGTTATATCCAAGTAAATTTCCTATTGTTATCTATAAATATCTATATCTAGCATATTATCGATTTCGATTAATAATTCCTAAAGTGAACAAGAATATTTCTTTACTGCTGTAATTGGAATTACTATATATTACTCATTATAATAAAAACTTGCTATCGATATTTATCGATCAATCAAACTTCGCATTTTGGATGCATACCGATAACAATTTAAATACCCTCATCGATACCTACGCAATACACACAATGCTATGCTCAGCCTCTTTCCTTATCCGTATATCGATACATATCGATAAATTGATTATGTTATATATATAAATATATATATACAATCTATTGCTCATTTGTTCATATTTCACATTCAAAGATTCTTACCATTCAGTCCAACTGCCTATCGATAATTATCGATATTGGCAATTTTGTATGCTTAGCACTCAATGTATAGAATCTGTCGCTCACTACTCAATTACATTTAAGAGTAGCTAGCTAAGCCAGCACATTTCGCTTGTTATTTTGTTATTGGCCTTGCTACTCGCATTTGTCAGTCAGGCGGAAGGCGAGGCCCCACACCCCCAGCACACCGCCTGTACACCCCATTGTACAGCCACTTCAGACGGCAGCTTAGCTTAGCTGGCAATGTGCCACAAAGCTGCGCCTAGTTGCGACTCGTTTAGAGATGACGACGACGACGACGACGACGAAATGTAAAATTACCAATAAAGTCAAATTGAAATTGCCAGACATATTAATAAAAGCCACGACCAGGAAGGCGCTGCTTGGCGCTCGCGGGGGGCGTGGCTGGGGAGGAGTGTTGCGTAGACAACGCGATTTAACAAATGGGCCGCGCGGGTGCCACAAACTCCCCCAAAAAAAAGGAAAAAAAAAAACGAAAAAAAAAAAAGTAAAACGTAAACTAGACCAAACTCGACGGGAGGTGGAGTCAGAGCAAAAGCAAGAAAATAAAATAAAAGCGCGAATTTCACTTGGCAATGCTCAGCGAGGATATTTTTGCTTTTAATTTTATATCGCTGAATACCTTGAGGGGGTGGCTAGGGCTGGCTTAGGGAGGCGGGAGGGAGAACGACGGCGAACGGTGCTGCAAAGTGGTAGAAGGAAATTTCTGTTGACAGGAAATACACTCGAAATTGGCAATTTTGCATTTACGTTAATAATACTCGAGCGTATTTACTACTTACATTTAGTAGGGGTAGTGCTAGGGACGGGAGGAGGTGTGTGTATGTATGTGCGTGTGTGTGTGTGTGTGCGTGGGCGTTGCCAAGCTGCTGTCTAGGCGAAAAATGGGGCCACATTTGTAGCAGCTCCAGCACCAGTTCCAGCTTGGCGTATTTCTTGGCTAGGGGTGGGCTGCGGGGGTAGGGCCAGTGGCAGGGGCTGTGCTTTCACAAGCATAGCTGAGCCAATATGACGCGCAATTATTTGTAATGGAGACGTAAATAAGTTGAAGAAGCAAAGTGGCAACAACGACAAAGTGGGCAAAGGCAACGGCAACGGCAACGGCAACGGCAACGAATTGTGGAGTGGGTGGGGGTTGGGGGGTTGTTAGCTTGGCTTGAGATGGGGGATGGGGTTTCTATATATGTAGTCAGTCTGTGCGTCTGGCGGGTGGTTAAGTTTTTTAGTTGTTACTGCTTGGGGGTTGCTTGCGTGTGCGTGCGAGTGGGTGGCTGGCTGTGTGGCTGGGTGGTTCTCTGCTTTTGGGGTTGGCCGGAGACAATTTTCGGGTCTTCGAGCTGGGGCAGGGGCATGGCCGCCCCCCTGCTGTTAGCTCGTTAACTCAATTTGCGCGCTCTCTGTCTGAGTGTGTGTGTGTTTTTCTTGTTTTTTTTT